AGGACAGTTAAGCTCTGCTGCACTGAACCCTCCATCACCAAAACTTGCTAGCCTAAAGCTACATGATACTAAAAATTTAGTTTGTGCTTCCTAGTACTTCTGACACCTTTTTCAAAATCGATACTCAGGAAGAAAAAACTCTATAACGCAGAGCTTTGGCTCAAACTAGAGCGATCATCAGTGACAATGGTGGAACGTCCAGGTGTTTTACTTCTACAAGGTCTACCAGTTCTCAAACTCATGTAGCTAGCTCGTGGAACCTAGTCTTGTGGGCTCTCCATGTGCTCCAACATGTCTAAACACAGGTTACATACTGTTAACTCCTTTTCTCTGTTTATGATTGGTCTTCTTTGCCAGATATGGAAGGATTTTTGTTCCAATGTTTCTCTCTGTCCAAAATATTTATGCCAGGAGAGACCATAATTTCATGATTGACTGGGAGTAAGAGTTTTGGGCAGAGAAAACAGTGGAACAAGGAAAACATATCGCTGATGATGGCTCTAGTCTTAGTCGAAAGCTCTGAGTTATAGTTTTTTCTTCCTGAGTATCGCATTTGGAAAAAGAATGTCTATAGCTACATGGTTGGTGTAACACAATATTTGCATTGCGGCTCTCGGATAACGTACCGTGTGTGGCATCACCATAACAGTGTCTAGCTCGCCAATAAAAAAAAATTCATCAACAAGCCCAACAAAGCACCATAATAAGGGCTGAGAACCAGAATGGTCTAATCAACAATCCATTTGCACCCCCTTAACCATTTTAAAATGCAGTTTGGAAGACTAACACATTTCCTCCCTTGTAACTTCTGGTGCCTCATTGGTATGCAAACAGGTTGACGTTTGCCACTTACGTACCTGCCAAACTTTGGCCGTGCAAGATGGGGATAAGCATCCAAAGGACCAGGCGGGGGGGTGGCTATGGAAGCCCATTGGGGTAGTGCGCACTTCCAAATCGTGCTACTTCTCAATTCCAAATTGTACCACTTCCAAATTGTGTTACTTCCAAATTGTATTACTTCCAAATCGTACCACTTCCAAGTTGTGCTACTGATTTCAAAAATTGTGCTCTATAGCTACACTGCATGCAGGGTTTAGAGGGCGGGGGTCGCCTGGGCACGCACGAAACTAGCGCGTGGAATGAGGGGGCGGGGTCTGGGCAAGAGACTAGTCCGCGCGTCGGGCTATAACATCAACGGAAAATGTCGCAGCCGCAAAAGACAGACTTTAGGAGCACATTCGGAAGTATTTTCTCAAGGGATATTCGTATAGGACTATTTTGATCTACCTGGGAAACCGGGCTCTTTGGAGTATCTAAGAGCTGCACAGTTTAGTGAAAAAAACATTAACAGAATGCCATCAGAACCTATATTTTGTTCCAAATACTACTGAAACTTTTCTGAGTGTACAAGAAATGAACATAAGAGTGTGCATAATTGTGAACTATAGGATGATTCTGGGAGCTTCAAAGGCTGTTGAGAACTTGAATGGCAGTATATAGCATGTTGGCCTTTTCGTTGCAGACATGTAGCAACCAGTTCCTGAATAGCACCTTTCTCTTAGTCCTTATCATCATCCTCTGAGGAAAAAGGAGAATGCATATTAACTAATTTGGTATGTTAATGTTCTGAAGAGTTTGGAAGTTGCAATATAAGTTTGGAACCTTTAACATTATGAAGCTATTTAGTTTGGAAGATTCAAAATGTTGAAGTTATGAAGTTTGGAACCTGTACAATTATGAAGTTATGATATTTGGAAGCTTTAACATTTTGAAGTTTGGAAGTCAGAATTGTGAGTTTCAGGTGCTTGTATTCGACCCTACACTCCTGCCTAATTCTGGCAGCAACTGTAAAAAGCATGTTTCCCTGGTTCTAGCTAATTCTTTAGAGCTAGGGCTACCTAGCAGGGCTTATGCAGGTTTTGTGTAGTGCTCCCATAGATGTTCACATGTGTTGGACACTCAGCCACACTAAGGGCAACACCTTACCAAGACCACCGGGTGTCGAGGCCTCACCCCAGTGTTTCACTGTCCGAGACATGGCCATGAACAGTTTTTTGAGTCACTAGCAAACGTTGCTGTTGCTATTGTCAATGCATTTTTGTAGAAGCTTACCCATAGCTAATTGTCCTTGAGCTAAGTCAGGTAAGCGGAAATACCTCACACAGGGCCTCTTTGCCTCCGAAGTGCGCTTTCTCAATTGACGTGCAAATTCCATATACATGTGCCGGACATAACTGCAAAATGGGGACACACGAACAGACCGCGGTAGCTATATAACATTTTTGTTAGGCCATACCTTGATCTCTACTAAGAGCAGGTTCCTCGCTGTTATCACCAAGGAGAGAGGACAGTCATCCCCGCCGACTGCTCCCGGTAAACAATCACTCTTCCAGTCTGTACTCGCACCGCTCGCTGCAAAGGCTCGTGCAGTCGACTGCGCATGCGCGGCTAACTCGCGAGCGGATGAGGCCTACCCCCCTGGATGAGGAATCACGAAGGTGAGAAGTGTGAGCAAATTCAGTAGTGGCACAATTTTTGGAAGAGATACAATTTGGAAGTGAACAAATTCGGAAGTAGCAAGTGCGCATGGCCCCAATAGGCTTCCGTAGGTGACGGATCGTCTCCATGCTCAACTGTCTTTCGCCGTCTTCCCCCTTCCGCCATTCGACAGACACGACCCAGCCGCACTTTACTTTCGATCTTGCGCTCGCTGTAGCCGGCACTGAGCCCCGCCTTCCCGTACACGCGCTCGCTTCGGCCGGCTGAGCCCCGCCTCCCCCAGTGATCGGTGTCGGCCGGCTGCTCGCGAGCAGCCCTATCGCTATATCCGCTATATTATTGGTCCAGAGGAGCGCCGAATCTGCGTTGTTTGCGCCTATGCGTCGTACACAACATGGGTGTGGCAGATGGAATGCTCGTTTACATCGAGGGATTCCAGCGCCGGCGGGCTGGACGTCGGGTTAACGTATTAAACCAGATCGGGAAAGTTGGCAGGTATGCTGACTTATTCCCTTGGTTATCACGCCTTAACTTTTTAATCCCAGAACAAATCAAGCAAGTTGTGGGCTTAACCTCTTAGTATTATCATTTGCTGGCTTGAAGCGTGTGACCGCACTACATTCACGGACAGAAATATGCCTAAGTCACCTGAGGGCCTTTTAAAGTCTGATGACTTTCTAGGCTTATGTTGCATATTGATTTTTCCTGAAGAAAAAAGGATTGTGTTGGTCATAATTGTTTAAGAAATAATTCTTTCCTGAGTAACAGCACATTCGGAATTACACAAATCCTGACCATAATGAAAGGCACTGAAGTGCAAACCCTCGGCGCTGTGATAATAGTGAACACACACGCACAATTATGTAAAGTAATGGGTGGGGCAATGGTATCACCAGGTCTGGTAGAATTGTTGTACTTACTGGTGCTGTATTTAGGTTCATAGATAAGATTATTCTTACCTCCCAAGCCTAACCTAGTGAGCAAAACGCCTTAGTTGGAGGCATACTTACTGAACTCAACCGTCTTCTCTGTCTAGTCTCACAGGGGGGGGGGGGGAAAATGGCTGTTGGCCACGTGGTCCCAATCAGCGTGCGCCGCTTTGGCCGCCTGCCGCCTCGGTGTATACGCACATGCGCGTTGTTCAAATGGCCGCCTTTGCCGTACCGTACAAACAGGAAAACGCTCTAGCTCTGCAACGAAGCAGTTTCAGAGAAAATCACACATATTTTCTGACCTCCGTCGGCCGCTGGGTATGTAAACCCGTTTTGGACGCGATCTATGACTGGAGAAGTGAGTTCTCACTTAACTGACAGAATGAATACACACACGACAACCCTCGCTGCGCATGCGCGCCGATGGTTAATTATATGTCACTGCCATTCTCCACCTTGGAACTAAGAAAAATACAAGACTGAAACTTGATAGTAAGGAAAGCTACTTAACACCACAAGAATACAAATTTGTGGGTGTAGTTACTGTGTTCATGTGGCTCGTTAATAGACTTAATGGTCCTCTTTCCGGAGTATGTCACAACATTGGTTTGGATACTAAAGTGGGACCTCCCAAAAATGAAAATATTGGGGCAGCAATTTTTTTCATTATTCAGAGCTTTTAAGTGAAAAACACAAGATATAGTTTTCAACACTAAGTCCTCTAAACAACTCTGCTTTCTGTTGACAGTGCTTAACAAAGCAACATGATCGATTAAGGTGAGGTACATGTATAGCTAGATACAGGCTCTCAGTGTATTTTGAAGGCACAGTTGAGTCATTGGTATCACGTGAAATTTGACCCGTGCCATCCCTATATAGCGCCTACCGACACTCTAATGGTTGAAATATAAAAGTATGGTTAAAAGTATAGCGTGCATGCGTGATTGCATGTGTGATAATTATTACGCCATGCCCACTTAAATAATTGTTCTTGGGACAGCACTATGGTTACGTTATTTTGTAGCTGAGCGGTTCTCTAAAGGGAGGTTTGTATACATAATGGTAAAATCAGTTGGTACATAGAAATATGTTCATTATAGAGAGGTTTTGTTGGGGGAGTTCATTATCGGAGGTCCCACTGTAGTTTAAAGAATGAAGAAATTTGTGCATCCCTAGGCCTATCAGTGTCTAGCTACCACAACTATGAAAAGAACTAAGTACGTGTACAAACCCTCGGCACACTAGAACTATCGAACCATACACATGCGTGGTTAATATCTCTAACGTATTATGCGTTTGCTTGTGTCGTGGTCTCGTGCTAGTAGAGTGCAGAGAATCTGACACTGGCCAGCTCCACTGGTAGATAGCATGCTGGACTTGATACACACCCTCCGTTGTTACTTCTTGTGCTTCATCAGATCAAGAAGCCAGTTCAATTATGCGTATTGGCGTTTTTGCTATTTAATGCATTTGTTTGAAATCACCTTTTTAAGCACATAGTAGCTCTGAAGCTGTTGGTAGGCTAGAAAAGCCTGTACTGCCACAATAACAGTCAACCTGCCATGTATTTTTGAAGAACTTCTAGATCTACTTTTTACCTCAGGGGATGGTTGAACTAACTTCAAATCCAGATGAAATTATGCAGTACGAAAAATATCCATTTGAAGAAACTGACCTACTATATATCAGTCATCAAGTCAGTGAGAGTTTCAAAGAGGTTTGCAACAGCCTGGAATTGGAGCAGGAAGCAGTTGAAAAAATTGAAAATGAAGAGGGCGATGAATCACATAAAATTTTCTGTGCACTAGTTGATTGGGGTGAACGGCATGAGAAGAGGACTTGGGGAGACTTAGTTCATCAGTTTCGCAATCATGACGAGTTCAAGCAAATAATTAGAACATATTTAACCAACTATCAGCCCCACGAAGGTTAAAATACTGTGTTGTAATCAAGATGTTCATGGCAGTTAAATTGTTTGCTTGTCAATGCCTTGCTACTTCATTGTTGACACATGCATTTATATATAACTAAAATGACTTTTCCTTGTAGGTGCAGCAGAACTTTATCCATTTTGTAAGTTTCATGGAGCTATGTTAGTCTATTCGTTCATATATTACTGCACACTCTACTTACGGCATATTTTTCATGTGGGACCTTAAATTTATTTACCTATACCCAGAAACGTAATTGGCAAGAAATCCAGTCGTGTTAGCGTTTTATACAAGTGGAAAAATCATTTCTTCAAAATGAAGGGGGATATAGGGATGGCTTGAAGCACCAAAAAGGAAGAAACAAGGGGTCATTATACAGCAAAGATGCACAAGGCTACATGACACCATCCCTATATCTTTGACTCATATTAAACTTTACTTGAGAACAATAACACAAAGATATAGGGATGGTGTCATATGACCCCTTGTTTCTTCTTTTTTGGTGCTTCAAGCCATCCCTATATCCCCTTTCATTTTGAAGAAATGATTTTTTCACTTGTTTCCACTATTTTTCATGCCTTATGACAACACTGCATTTCTGTCACTCTGATGTTCATGGGTGTTGTAGAGATAACTGTTGAAAGCAGAAGCTAATGGGCTGCTCCTACCTGAAGCAGGGTGTATGCGTAGTGTCTCCAACAACGATGCAATTAGGCTGTGGCACATATGGTGGGGTGGTTTCATAGGCAGGCTTCAGTAATCAGACTACAATGATAGCTATAAACCTGGGGGACAAACAATGAAGGCGCTGGGCAGGCCAGCGTAACACGGCGCACACTGCCAAGTTGCTCCTCGTACAAATCAACAGCAAAACGCAAGCTAGCCAGTTAAAAATGTGTATACTGACTTACAGAAGGCACTGGAGGATAAGAGTTCCTCTGCAGGCATCCTGGCTTAGTCTGGTTCACGCATGCACGAGACTATAGTAATGCGCGCGTGCACCGCATTGAGGAAACACCCTCCTCGGCGCATGCGGCTCACTGATGCTGAGTTAGCAGCAAATGGCGTTGTCCAGTGACTAGAGCTCAATGATCTACCGTATTGACTTGCGGTAAGAAACAAGCGATCGCATGATATGCGTGCACACCTCCGGAAAATTTGGAGACGTTCTGTGAAAAAATCAACGCTTCAACTGCTTCCGGTAAGGAGCTAGCGGGTCTGAAGAAGAAGAAGAGGAAGAAGAAGATGAAGAATAATATGGTGATGACACGAAAATCGCAAAATCGCGTAAGAGCGAATTCTCTCGTTGGGAACTGAGGGCACGTAGGAAAGTCTTGGGGCATATGTATAGCTATAGGTATTGGCCTCTAGACTATTGCTAGTGATTTTGAAGCCATGGTGAGTCATTCTCGCTGAGTTTTGAGGCGTTTTGTACGCGGATCACGTGAGGTTTCACTCGTGTCATCCCTATATAGAGCGTCTACCAACGCTCTGATTAACACAGGCTTATGCGAGGTCAAAAACTTATAATTTTACGCAGCTTGTTCATTTGAAGAAACTGGGAAGGGAGTTACTGAACCATCAGTTGAAGCTTATCCACGCAGTCCACGTAAGTTAATTTTCATGTTTTTCTATCTGGCTGTCTAAGTTTTGTTCACAGAACAATTATACCTCTGCTGAACATATTATTATAGTTAAACAAGATTATTAACCATTACAAAATGAAAGTGCTAACCCTTGGCACACTCAACATGCATGGATGGTCAAGTATACGCATTGCACCCATATATGCATGCTCAGGTCAGTACAACTGCTATGCTGTCGATTTACTTGTGGTCTCTAGCTTTATAACTCTCTGAGAGTCTGAACATTTAGCTATACTTGTAGATCAAATTTTATATAGGCATCGCAAGACTTGGCACTTGCCCTCAGTTGAAATTTACTGTGCCTCCACAGTACAAGAAAAGACAGAATGCGGGCGAGGTATAAGCCAGTGGTAATTAGCATATTGACTTGTCACTTGGTTTTCACGCAACGCAGTATTGTTATAAAAAAAATAAGTTAGTGTAGCAAAAGCAGTGTATCACTCTTTTGCCGATTTGGTTGCAGAGAACGTAGTAACAGACAGACAGAATGATGACACACTAACAAACGAAGTATATACTGTAACCAAGAGTACATAAGAGAGAGACTGCATATGCCTGCGTACAAATACTTTGTAAAAGTAACATGAAACGCATGTGTGGTATATCAGTTCGATACTCTCTCTCTTGTGTATATATTCTTGCCGTAACCCTCGCTTCACTTACATGCTGAGGGTTGACTACTTCTCCAAACCATCAAAAGTATTTTTACCTGTTGCAAAACATGCGCTGGTCGAACTTGTAGGCTCCGAAGAGTTGTTGCTTGGACTTCCTTCGTGACCACATGTTATGTTTTCGCAGTTGTCACCACGAAGGTCGTGTATTGAATCCCGCATCGGCATACGATCTTATAACGTAGCTAGCCCGTGGTCAGATTCTCTGCGACCAACTAGCGTGGAGCTCACAAGTAAATGCATGCTCATAGCCCAGCCCATCAATTAGCGGTACCGCGCATGCAAAGTGCGCTGAGGGTTCGTACTTCAGTGCTTTTAATTTCTTTATGTGATGGGCACTGCTCGCACCATAATTCTAAATATGCGCAAAACGCACACAAAATATTGACCTGCTCACGCTCGCTCGCCAAAAATTCGCTTTAGTCCTGCAGTACACTAACATAATGCTGGATAACATCATGCACTTATAAATGTAGCTGTCAGAATTCTTCTATCAGTATAAGGCAGGTAAGAAAAATTTTACAGTATTACATACCTTTGTTGAGATGTTTGCGCTGCAAACTATTTATAGCATTATGCCATTTTAATGACTGAAACGTAATGCAGTTACAGCAAAACGAATCAATGTGTCACCTGCCTGCTGGCTGGTCTACGTTACAGTGCATGCTATTGCAAATTTCAGGCTGAAGTCAGTAATATTTGAGCTTAAACTAGCTATGGCCACTTGCACTAGTGCAATAACTTTGATTAGTAGCCAGAGTCATTGCGCTGAGGATTTGCACTTTAGTGCTCATCATTCTTGTAGGCCACGCTTTACAAGGGCCATGCGTTAAATAATGCCAAGTCTCTGCTTTGTGTTTTATTATAATTGCCTTTTTACTGACCAGATTCTAACAGGCCGCATTTACTAGTGAGGGATAATCTTGAAAAATTGCAGATGGATTTTAACAATCTTCTCGCTAAGGCTAATAAAAATCTTGCATCTCAGCCCAGCATTATTGATGATTTGCGTGTACGTCTAGCTGCATTATGTGTTGATGTCAAGAGCAATATTCGCTTTTTCGATGAAATGATGTGCAAATTATTCACCAATATGAAAGTTCCAGAAATTATTATGCTGTTGACCAAGCACCGTGTTTGGGATCCAATTAATTATCGGATTCTTAAGAAGCTTTTAGACCTGTGTGTTCCATTTGAAATTGAGATTCATGACGATATTGAACGACATGCACATAAGGTTGAAGTTTTTCAGCGAACAACACTACTTCGAGATTATACGGCAATTGTTGGATCTAATATATTATCTTCTCCTCATGGGTGCACAACCATCACTGTTAAATTTGAGAGAAAATACAAGGGATACACAATGGCCAGCTTTGCTCACGATCAAAGTTTCTTGGCTGGGCAATTTCTTCTTGAAGAATTTATTTTTCGTTTCAAAGAGGCACATAGCGGTTGTGTCAGTATTACGTGGTTCATCCCGAAAAGTTCACTTCCATTGCTATCACCACACATAATCAATGAAAAACGAAAAGAGCTGAGAGAAAAAGAAGTAATAGAGATAATGGTTGATAATAAATTTATATATAGGGTAAGTTTGAATTAACACTAAATCCAATTCTGTTTTATCATAACCAAGAATAGCGAAAGTATCATTTAGAATTCCATTGTGAATCTTGCTTAATAACAAAAAATGGAATAAGTGAAACAAGTGTTAACTGATCTTCTCTTAACAATATCATGTTTAAAAATAGTAGGCAAGGGAGTAATTTTAGTGTATGTTTATGTTAAATTTATGTACGTCTGCATGTTTTATTAGACTGTTCTTTCACTAGGTTGTGTTAAAACCATTTTAATTAACATCTATTTTGGATTAGGCGTGTAACGTGTTGCTACCAGCTAACCAACCATGCATCTCATGATTGTATTTTGATCCCAAGTTTTACAAGTTTTGTCCCATGTACATAGTACAAGTACTATTTTGAGGTTCTATGTGTGATGCTGTACAATATTTTAGGTATATAACATTAATGTTACGATGTTTAAAGTTGCCATTTCTTCTATGTTACATAGGTTACCTTCTAGTAAAGTATAAATAAGCCACAGATAATTATATAGGGGCCTAAAACATGACTATAATAAGCAAAGGATGCACAGTTACTACCTTCTTCGATTCAGATTCCAAACCTGGTGATAAACAGCCCGCCCTTACATATGGATTCTAAATCGGACACAGTTGGTTAGTGAAACAGGGTTGGTTACCTTTTCCTGTTTTAACTTTTTCGTCATATATAGATTATGAAGCTATGTATGATGAAAGCATCAAAAATCCTACTGAGTTTTGGAGTCGTCAGGCCAAAAAATTTCTTAAATGGATAAAAATATTTGATGAAGTAGATGGATGTAGACTGGAGGAAGGAGTCATCAGCTGGTTTACTGGTGGTCAATTGATGTGTCTTGTAAGCTGTTAGTGAATAAAAACTACGCCAAGTGGAATTGACTTTATTTTATATCAGATAATTGCCTTGATCGCCATGCTGTGAAAAATGGAGAGAGGACAGCGTTGATCTGGGAAAAGAATCAGACCAAGGAGCAGATAAATGGTATCCATGAGTGCATCAGCTACAGGTTTGGAAGCGTAGCATACCAATCTGATGAAACTGTGTAGTTATTAGCATGTAATTGTTTTAAATTACGGAAACTATGTGGAGATGACTTGCCAAATTGCCAATGTGCTGAGAACAAATTGTGGCGTAAAAAGGTGACAGAATAGTCATCTACATGCCAACCTGCCCATTGGCTGTTGCAGCGATGCTAGCATGTGCCAGAATTGGAGCTGTTCACTGGTAATGCACACGCAGAGTCATTAGTCTTGTTCTAAGACCACATATTGTAGAGAGAGAAGAGCGGGTGGAGTTAGAGAGGAGAGGTAGAAGAGGGGCGGTAGTAATCGATAATAAGTTTAGGAGGAACGGGTAAAAGATCACGATCCGTGAACCATTGTACAAAACTGCATCAAAATCGGCGAGAAACTGAGAATGAGGGAGAATACCTGAAGGATTAAAAACCACAGCAATGGTTTACAGGCCAAATCTAGCTCATTACATTAGTCCGCGTAAGCCACACCCTCACGTAAACGGAAGGAGAGGGGTCTTGTTAAGAGAAGTTCGGAACCGGTCACGTGAACGTTTACAAGATAATAGTGCGTTGGGAATGAACGAACCCTTTTTTGCGACTTGCCCACTGCTTAGTTTTTTCTAAACACAGACTGAGAGAGAATTCGCTGCAAACACCAGAGTTGTAAAAAGGACTGAAAAGTAATCGGTAATGGAATTTAGCTTGGATATGGGGGTTACGATGTGGCTTGTGCTGTGACGGAGAGAGTTCTTCACTATATCTTGCCGAGGCAGATAAATTGCATTTACATGACGCATCCTAGGAATGTCCGACCTCCTCTGGGTCTGTCTCCAGGAGTGATACCACTGTCAAGATTCTGACAGTCATTATCAAATTCCTACCTTACATGACGTCATGTTATCGTGGAATGTGCCACAGTCAAAATGTGCCAAGGAAGAATTCTCAAGGTTTGACCCGGCCATATATAGCGTCGGTTTCTTCATTGACTTTGTCGCAAATTCCCCTATACGGTAGCTCCACCGTGGTTAGACACTGTGAATATGCTTGTTTCCTGCTAAAATCAGCAAGAATGAGCCAGGGGAATGTTAAGGATGTTCGTTGCATGGGACGGCAACGGAGGTTTGACTCCGTTAAGTCCTTGTTAATGTTTCTAGTGTCCCTGTTTACCCAACTTCATTTTGCTTACACCCAAAAAGCTTTGTTCTATTCACTAATAGGGGAACGTAGTAAGATAGACAAAGATATAGGGATAGTGCTAGGTGGGGAGGGGTGGAGGGGGTAGAGATGGTCCCCAGGGGCAAATTGGACTACAAAAGGGGGATGGGGAAGGGGGGAGTCTCTGGCGTCAAGGCAGAGTGGGATACGGGATAGGGGAGTAGCGGGTAAGAGCGAGAAAGGGAGAAGAAAGTGAGCAAACAAGTGTAAGGGTGGAAAAAAGTGAGGCCGACAACTTAATGATCCGGTGAGGGAGAGAGGGGGAAGTTGGGATTGGAGGAAATTTATATATGATTTAGTGTGGTTGGGGGGTGGTAAGTTGTTGTATGTAACATAATAGTATTATGATGATGTGAATAGTGTTGTTTAGCTAAGCAAACCAGGCGAATTTTACACCAAATGTGGGTATTCATGACTGACTTTGGTGGCCTCTGGCACTAGATAGTTTAAAAAATGTAAGCCTTCAATTACTGTTCGGCTTTGTGGTGTCCATAGGTTCTGTATCGGTACGAGGTGTAAGTGTGAGACATCCCAATGAAACGATCATCAAATCATGTAAGCGAGAGAATTTACACATAACTATCTTATTACATGACCTGTGCCCAGTGTATTCATTGACTAGATACAGTTCTACGTAAGGTAGTATGTACTGGTTATGGTATAATGGACCATCATGACAAAGGACACAGCAGAAGATGCTCTATCTAGGAATGGCAGAAGTAAAATCGCACGTGATCGGCAAACAAAAGCTAATAACTATCTTTAATCATGATCAGCTTAGCACACCTGCAGAGATATCGGTTGTTTCAAGTCACATATAGTAATCTAGCATCCTTACCAGTGATTAAGATAAACTGTAAACTGTAAACTTTCCTTCTTATTAACACTCGGTGCGCATGCGCAGCGAGGGTTACTGTAGTTGGTTTGTCTGTCTGTCTGTGTGTGTGTGTCGACGCTTATTCTAGCTCTTCAGGCTACGAGGCGGCCCATTAGCGATACCAGTGGCTTCAGAACTACTCTAGCCTGAAACATAATCGGGCGATTTTCCTGAAACGACTGTGTTCGAGAGATATGCCTTGAAAACAAGCGAAAAAGCCAATATGCATAATCACACTGGGCTTACCGCGACCTGATCTGCTCGCCCTGTGTACCTTGGGGGCGCAAAAAGTCACAACGAATGGCGGGTATCGACTCCCGCATGCTATCTACTACTGTAGCTAGCCCGTGTCATACTCTCCGCGAGCTACTAGCGGGAGACCAGGAGTAAAAATAGCCCATCAATTTAGCAGTATCGTGCATGCGCAGTTCGCCGAGGTTTTGCACTTTAGTGCTTTTCATTCAGTCAGTACGAGCATTACTGACAGAGCAATCATTCTTCCCATGCAAACACGATTTGCATTCGTAGTGTTACATAGAATTTTTAGATTGTTCTACTTTTAAATGCTGACGCTGAATTTTAAAGTAATTCGTAACCTTCAAATGGATGGTAACCTGTGAAAAAAGCGCTATCCATGCCAGCCCTTATGTGTTTATGTTGCTATATAGTTACATATTTCATGCTTCATTTGCCTAATGCATTCGTGAGCAACAAAAGGTGTTAGTAAAAGGATTCAGAGAGAATTACAATCTTGCAGGGTAGCTAAACATTGTTTCTCATAATGAGTCATTCTTACATCCTTTTTTGACGTTTAGGGCCTTATGACTACTCACACATGCCAAGGATTGCACTATACTGTGCTTTTTACTATTCCCAGTGACTGCACTTTAAATGACTTATTTTTGTGTGCTTTCAAATCCAGCGAAGCCAGGTTTGTTGTCACTCACAAAAGGCTTTTGTTGGAGACAAATGTTGCACTTGAGAAGCAATATTGATAAGACTCTCAAGCTTCTTGAGAAGACAAATGAAAATTCAGTAAATCATGTTTTAGTTTGGAAAATGAATGATTGTGATATTGGAGATACACTAAGAGACACTGATCTCGAAACGGTAAGATTAGGTTTTTGAGCCTGTATATATAGCTAAGTACTTGTATGGTTTTACTAGATTAGCTATCACCCATTGAAGGCAACTGGCAGAGCATTGTGCTATCTTATGCCTGATAAAACTAATTCACACACTTTGGATGCAGAGGTAAAATGTTTCCTTAAAAAAGGCAATGAAAGCTGCACCTACTTACTGTGAACCAGTAGCAATGGAGAGTGACGACCCACTCTTTATTATGTACACATCTGGAACTACCGATGAGCCTACAGGATTTGCCATACCCAAGCCGGATATCTCCTTTGTGCTGCAATGACACATAAGGTTTTCTTTTCTATGGTGTTAAAATTATATATACTGATAACGTATATTGAACATGTTTCAGTATGTGTTTGACTACAAGATTGGAGAGGTGGTTGCCTGCGTAGCTGACTTAGGGTGGATGCTGCCCCTACGTTTGTAGTATATGGTCCACTCTGCAATGGAGGAACCACCGTGTGTTTCAGGGAACTGCAACCTACCCAGATTCAGGTCAGTAATGCTTATAAATTTGAAGGATGTGCTTCTGCTGTGCTGGTAGTAATAATAATTATATTACGTAGGTAGTTACTGGGAACTGGTGGAGAGATTGAAGGTAAACCACTCGACACTTCTCCGCTGCAATAAAGAAGTTGATGAAGGATAATCTGAATTGTGTAAATGACTATAACGTTTCATCGCTCAAGACTATTGCTTTAGGTTGTGCCATACATCACAGTAAATGGCGGTTCCTAGCTATTATCTATTTTCTAGGTGGTGAACCAATATCGACAGCCACATGGATGTGGTACTACACAGCTGTTGGAAGAAGAAACTGCTTGTTAATTGACACTTATGGGCAAACAGGTTTATTATTGCTTTATTGCCAAAATCATTTTATGTTCTTTTCCCTTACTGCAGAGCTTGGTGGATTTGCACTGAGTCCTTGGCCGGGAAGTAAACTAAAGCCAGGTGTCTGTGCAAAACCATTCTTGGGGGTAGAACCAATCATTGTTAATGAGAAGGTATATTAGTAGCTTTTAGGTTGCCCAATTGTACTATAGATGTTTTTAGGGTGAAATTCTGCAAGAAAGTGGAGTTCAAGGTTTACTGTGCTTCAGACATCCCTTTCCAGCAATGGGGAGAGAAATTATTGGTGGAAGTTTTAAAAACAAATATTTTAGTTCTTTTCCTGGTAAGGTTTTATTATAATAGCATCATAATTATTATTGTCACTTTCATACAGGAAAATACTTCACTGGAGACTGGGCTTACCGCGATATGGATGGAGACTATCAGATTGTAGGAAGAAAAGACGACATTGTCAGAATAAAGGGTGTCTGGATCCAAATTCCCGAGATTGAGAGTTCTATAGTAGTATGTTAATCTACTCTACCATTCTCAAGTTTATCATTATCATAATTCTCAGGGAAAAAGCAATAATATTGAAAATGCGTCATACATTGGTCTGTCTTCTGAACCCTCTGCAACTACTGGTAATAAGACTACAATAAAACAAATATTTTAAGGCTTGTACAATTTGCACAGATGCATGTGTTGTTGTTGAGGTGAGGAAATCAGTACCAGAATCACAGCAGAAATCCAAAAAATTCTACCGTGACATTCTTGAGTCTGTAAAAAGTTCCATAATCAACAATGCTGGAGAGCACGCACTTCCACGTTTTGTTTTGGTGAGAAAAAGGCATTCAGTGGTATGTAAACTAGCACTTCCCTGGACGATACTGTCCAACCAATATTTTAGTTTAATTCACCCTATCTGTCTGTTTTACATCATCATATTTGACTATTTTTTTGTTTTAGGTTGTAAGAGAAAGTGTATACACCTGGTCAAATAAGATGTGCCGAAGTATTTATCGCGACATGGCTGAAGGTTTTTTCAAACCTTTGTTAAAACATGTTGATCCAAGTGAAAACATAGTTTTGCTGGACTATACTACAAGCCCTTTGCCACCTGTTGCTAACAAATGGGAACACCTACAATAGTTCTTTTTCTGACATATTTAAAAAATTATATCACTGCACTGTTGTGTTTCTTTACACAAAGAAAAAGGTTACATGTCGTAACAGTACCTGGTTTATCGGGTAGCTGGGGTGGTTTACTGGACAACAGTTGCCTCTTAGCCAGAATGTAGCCTTATACAAAAATACAGACCTTCAAAACATTGCCAATTGCACCACACCAATTCGTGATTTGATGCCGAGGAGCATGGTCTATCTAAATCAAGGCAAAAATCGCCACTGAGGCAAAAATCGCCGATCAGACTGTGGCGTATCATGACCAATCAAGGATTCCCAAAGCTCATCCATAATTAATTTAAACCTAAGTCAATCTTGCTTTTTCGGAGCTGAATAGCATCAGTCCTAGAGACAGAAAAGAGTTTATGTGCAAGTCATAATATTTTAATTTTTACAATGGCACGCGTAATTATTATGTTTTTTCTTGGACTAATTATATACATTTTTCCTACTCCATATGTATGAACTGTCTCAAACCCACTCCACTGGGCATAGTCTTCGATTTCCCTTTGGACGCCATATATAGGCATCTCCTTAAATAAGCAAAAATTCATTTATAAAGTAGTAGCGCCTAGTATAACATATTATTATAATATGCTCTACAACACAGTGAGTACTAATTACAAGGAAGAAAGTGGTAATGAGAAAAATTATAAAGACTGTGTTGAGTGACTGCAGGCAAAGAGCCAGCATCCGAGAAAACAAAACCAACACACATTATATAATGATTATTGCTAAAGGGCATGTTGACAGGTAGTGGAGAGCATTTGTAACACAGACATAAATAGTGATTGGAGCATTCGTCATTGGGATTGAAATGGGAGATGAAATGGTCCAAGAAGTAATTGTGAAGTTTGGAAGAGAGAGGAAGACTAATATCCAGGAGGGAGCGAGTTCCATAGTCGAGGTATGCGATTGAAGTAAAATATTTTTTCGTTGTAGCTATCATATAGTTCCTGGAAACTGTGTGTTTAAGCTTAAAATTTTGACTTGAGCTCTGTCTGAGCTTTAGTTATACCTCCTCTGATCATAGTACGCATCATTGAAGCCATCTAAGCGGGCACACTGTACTATACATGGTAGTTTGGCTCTCCTATTATCCATGAATATTTGATTTTCACCTAGCTATGTGACCTACTCGCACAGCACATAGACCAATGATTAATACACCATTTTACTTCCAACTCTTTAATATTTTTGTTGTATTGTCATGCTAAAGCTGAGACAGCTATAGCTATTGAGTGAAATTACCAATATGACTGTTGCTACTCCTGGTTTTCAGTTGCAATACACATACCATGTTCTGATGGAGATGCTTCGGAGGTGCCATCTCCTGCAGCAATATCTGATAGCACAGAGAGTGAAAATGATAGTGAGCCACTGCCCAGTAATACTGAAGGCGAACAACAACGAAGTGTTGTAGGTAAGTGCTAAGGTCACAGGCCAGTCACTCAGGCCACAATTGTTTCATACAGGAATATGAATGTATGCATGTCATGCTGTTATCATATGGTATAGCCATGTACATGCACTAGTGATTTGACAGACAGCTCGTTTGCCAACTTTTGCCGCATATGGATAGGAAGAGCGTGCTCCTCAGTGAGGGCTACTCTTTACATTGCTCCTGTCTGCACGGTTTAATTAATGTACATGCATACTGGGAATGTGCTGTTCCTGTGCCGCCGTGGTGTCCTACAACTTTCCTTTTTGCTAGAAGTAGGGGCTACTCTTTACATTGCTCCCGTCTGCACTCTTAGTCTTCTCCTAGAGCTATTTGAGCCATTTAGCCATAATTATTTATTCAAGCTAATCTTTGAGTTTGCATGTGGTATTGCTCTATTGTAATTGATGTACGGTCATGCACAGGTAAATTAAAGCACTGAAGTGCAAACCCTCGGTGTACTACACGCGTGAGTAAGTATACGCATGCGTGGTATATACCGCTAATTGCTACTCACGGTCTCATGCCAGGTCGCTCTGAGAGTCTTTCACAGGGCTATAAATAGCATGCAAGAGCCGATACTCGCCCTGCGTTGCAACTTCTGGTGTCTCCAAGGTAAGCCTGTGCTATTTAGCATATTGGCTTTATCACTGTTTTCTCACTATAATTATTTCTCGAACGCAGTACTTTTCCGAATTTGAAATAAAACCAGTGTATCCCTGAATCGTTTGGTATCACTATTATGTTGTCTTGTTGCACGTGGTGGCAGAAAGCATGGTAACAGAGAGACGGACGGACAAACCAAGTACCGTAACCCTCGCTGCGCACGCCAAGGGTTCATCATGTAAAATAGAACTCGATATAATTCCAGTAGGTATATAAAACAAACCTTGTGTCCCAGAGTAACCAGACGCATTAGAAATTGGTTAGGCCACAAGACTAGGAGTATTATTCTGTATACACAACTTTTCTCATTTCATTGCAGTTAATGAGAGGACACCCTTGCTTAGGCTTAGTCAGCGTGATGTAAAAAGAAAAGGTTTGTAAATTGTCTTGGAAATAGCAGTTTTTACAATTTTGGTTTGCAGTTTATCTCGCGGAAGGAAGAAACTGGAAGGCGTTAGGTGGCTCCTTAATTAGTAACGTGAAGATCCTTGTCTACCTTTACACTGCATTTATAGTTTTTTTGGTTGCTGGTTACGAAAATAATACAACTGTTGTGTTTCCCGGGGCACTTGTTGAGCTGAAAAGTTACTCATACTTTGTGTACGACAAGGCTTCAGTTACAGGTGATGTTCCAGCCGGAGCAAATGCATAGATATATCTTGGATCCAACTGTGGATCCAAGGTTAAAGAAAGTGTGACACTGTCACCGTACTCTCTCCTGAATCTCACTTATCCCAAAAGACTGGATGATCAACTTTACCGTGTCTACCTATTGAAAGGGTCTCATCTAACTTTTGATGCCATACTACATCCTAATCTTGATATTGATATTACACCCAACATAACTATTAAGCTTTGTAGGTTTACAGACGAGGAATCTGTGATTGCGCTCACTTCAGCAAGGAATGAAAATGAAATCCAGAAAGGGGAAGAGAAAGCCAAAGTGTGTTACGAAATTGGAAATTCATCAACAGTGTACGACAAAGTGAAACAAGATAGATATCAATACTATGCCTTATCAGTCTTTAGCCCATTGAACGAGAGTGTTACTATATCTTACAGTTACGTTCTGTACACCAAGTACTACAATGAAAGCAGTTTTGAGCGACAGCACTCATGGATGCAGTATCACAGGTCTCACCCTTGTCAGGAGCAGCAATCCACACAAAGATAGATTCTGCCTCTTAGCGTACGTACCATCGCTCCCGACTGCCAATAAAACAGAATGTTTTACTCTCACTACAACCTATCGAACATGTATGGCTTTATTTCAATTGTAAGTTTTTTTATAGTGGTTGTCAATGCCAGCTTGTTTACTGTTTTATTCCTTAATCGGAAATTGATAAAAAGAATTAAAACCTAGAAGTTGCCTAAATAGTGTGTCAACCCTTTTTCGTTGTTGTTGTAAGAAGTAAAATAGATTGCTGTTTTGAGTGTTTGGAGCATCTATTATACTTTTGTATATTATGTGCAAATTGTGTGCGGTTCATGCGCTGTGTCTATCAGTTTGTGCATTTTTGGTATATAGTGGCTAGCTCTATTACTGCGTGTGATAGGACTTATAGCGATATTTTTGCAGTAGAACTGGTAAAATGTGCTTTAATAAAGGTGCAATGGGGGAACGGTTAGCGAGAGAGACATATCTACCAGTGGAGGTTGTTATGCACTATGTCAATAACAGCTTTACTTTGGTATTTAGCCCCTCTTCTAACTTTCTAATCTCCCTCTCATTAATACTGTCCCCTACTATAGACAGAAAGCCCTTCAAGGAGCAATCCCCATTTTGAATATCATGCAACCACTCCGCCTTGTCAAGACCTAATGACGAAAAGATATCATCAATGACCTTTTTTTTTTTTTAAATTGTTTAGCACAGATGCAAGGAATACATGTAAGTAGCACTCAATTGCTAATACGAGACATGATTCCCATGAGAATAAAAATAAATAAGATGACGTTTGAACAGAGAAAAAGAGGACTCAGAACATAGAATACTATCAAGACTGTTCCACAGTCTAATAGTTGCAGGAACAAATGAGTGGTACATGGAGTTAGTACGGGAAAAGGATGGTGTAGAGAAAAAGGATGAGAATGATAGGAACGGGAGGTGCAATAAGAAAAAACATCAAGGTCAAAAAAACACAAGCTGTTCACAATTTTGTACAGGAGACAAAGTCTAGCCACCTCTCTTCGTTTCTCAAGAGACAGAACACCAGTTTTATCCAGCAAATCAATGTAACTGAGATCCCAACACTTTGTAACCATTCGCAGAGCAAATTTTGGGACCTTTTCTAAAAGCATTTTATCACTGACCTTACTCCAATGCTTCCTCTGCCTTCCTCTCCATGGCTCAAAATTCCATTCCTGATTAAAAAGCTTCTTCGGATACCTGTGCCTGGCAATGCCGCTAACTTATACCACCACTTCAACTTATTCTTATCCCTACGCCCTTGTAACGTATCAAGCCCCATATCCCCCCTAACGGCTTCATTACATGTCTTAGACGAACACCCAAGAATATGCTTAGCTCCTCTCAGCATCACGGACTCTAACGCAGCTGCCTGAGTCTTCCCACACCTCACCCCCATACTCTAAAGTTGGCCTAACCACCGCCAGCAACAACAACCTGCGAGCACTCAAATTAATATCCCTATTACTAATTACACTATGCAACTGATTAACCTTCCTTCTACCATTGTCTAACACATTCTTGATATGCACATCCCATGCACCAGTACTAGTAAAATCAACACCCAAGTATGTGTATTTAGATACTCTAGGCAAAACATACTCCCCCCATTTCCAAGCACCATCCACTGACTCCCTAGCGAACACCATCACTGCACTCTTACTCACATTAGCCTTTAGCCTCCATTTTCGACAGTAAGCATGCACCACATCTATAAGCGTCTGTAACTGATCCTTAGACTCACTAACACCAACGAAGTCATCTGCAAACAAAAGTCCTCCAAGTCTCCCACCACTACTTAAATCAATCCCAATCTCAGCTTCCTCCACCTCCCTCAACAACCCATTGATAAATACGGAAAACAAAATTGGAGATAAGCTACATCCCTGAGCTACCTAGCAATTTTATTGGTTGTGCTGATTCAGCAGTCATATGACCACTGACCAATCGTACCGCGTAGTAATTAACCCTCGGCACGCATGCACAGCGAGGGTTACTGTAGTTGGGTCTGTCTGTCTGTTACTCTCGATCTCACTTCTCGGGTGTTTGTTCGTCTCACAAAGGACACGATCTACTTAACGGGCAATGTAGGTCAGAAATTTCGAATGGTTTTCTCTGAAAATGCTCCGTTGCAAAGCTAGAGCGCATCCAGCACTGTACGGATAATGCCGGTAGACGCCATTTTATCGCTCCGGAAAGGCGCATGCGCTTATATTTACACAGACTTACCTCGACCGGGTCCGCTTGCTCTGTGTATCTTGAAGGCACAAGAAGTCACAACGAATGGCGTGTATCGACTCTCGCATGCTATCTATTACTGTAACTAGCCGCGTCAGACTCTCTGCGAGCTACTAGCGGGAGACGCGAGTAAACGCACACTAATAGCCCACCCCATCAATTAGCGGTACCGCGCATGTGCCGAGGGTTTGCACTTTAATTTGTGGTGTGTGTAGTCTGAGGACCGCCACGTCTCCTTCCCAAAGACCCTTCGCTAGCGGGGACTCAACCGAGTGGTTCAAGCGGTTCATCTGCAGTATGGCGAACAACTGGAACAATGCTACGAAGTCTCTCAAACTGCCGACTCTATTTGAGGGAGAAGCCATCGCTATTTGGCTGGAGTTAGGAGAACGTGAGCGAAGTGATTATGGGACAGCCCGCTCCAGGATTCTCGAGGCTATGACGCCTATGGGGTTCGTTTCCCTCGACGCCTTCCACGGCCGCAAGCTGCGCCACGGGGAAGCGCTATCTGTCTTTGTGCACGAGCTCAAGAAGTTGTTGGATCTAGCCATGCCACCTCGACGCCGCCGCACGCGATCCGCTACTGTTGCATCAATTTCTCGGAGGAATCCCCACTGCCGTAAGCCGTCAGCTGCGAGCTACAGGAGAAACGAAAACCCTCGTGGTCGCCGTTGAGCGAGCCCGTCTACTCCTGGCACTTGACGAGGAACCAGACAGCCGCAGTTTCGCACACGACCAGCTGCGAGCTCAAGGGACTGCTGGACCAAGTGGCTGTTTTAACGGAACAAGTTGCCGCGCTCACGACCCCGACAAAGGACCGAGAATCGATTGGTGGAAGGCCCAGCCTACCCGCCGCAGGCGCTGCTTCGGCTGCGGCCAGACGAGACATCTTCTACATGACTGCTCGGACCGCGTGGGTGCTTCGCAAGCGGACTGCTAGGTCACTTCGCACGAGACTGCCGTTCGGGAAACGGCCGAGGGGCGCCCGGGGAGGGCAGCGGCCCGCCGCCATGGTGGCCGTGGTAAAGCGGCCACCACCAGGGGGAGCGTCGGTGATGTTTGACTCCGGGTTGTCTGTGTCGCTAGTTCGGCAGGAAGTGCTGTCGCAATCACCCAAGATGACGGCAGTCACCGGCGCTGAACCAATACAGTTAGTTACGGCGTCGGGAGATCCTTTAACGATACTGGATCGTGTCCGAGCACCAGTGAAGATCGGAGACCTGGAGCTCATCCATGATTTCGTGGTGGTTGAAAACCTTGTGAGTCCAGTCATTCTGGGAGTTGACTTTTTGCACAATAATGGACTTGTTCTAGACTTTTCCAGCCTACCTGCTACAGTCCATACAAGTGACTCTGTAAAAGTCGTTCCTCATTGCACAACTGTACCAGAATGTATTTTTTTCAATCTACACAGAAGAAGAAATGAGCGAACGAGTGCAGTTGCAGCTGTGGAACGTCCCAATGCTGATGTAATTGAAGACTGTGCAGTCCCGGACTTCCATGCCTGCCCATCATTTGATTACCCAGTGTGTTCATGCAACAACCTTAGAGATGTCATACATACCCACCGGTCCTTGTTCATGACAGTACCAGGAGGAACGGAAGTTGCCTGCCACTACATTACAACGACAGGAACCCCTGTTAGGGTACCCCCGCATCACATCCTAGCACACTATCGGCAGGAAATTGAAAAACTAATCAACACAATGCTGGAACAAGGAATCATAGAAGAGCAGCAGGCCCTGGATGGCACCTGCTGTGTTCATGCCAAAGAAATCAGGCGAAATTCGGATGTGAATTGACTATCGTGAATTGAACAAAAGACCAAAAAAAGATGCCTACCCCTTGCCTCTACCAGATGAAGTCCAAGATCGTCTTGCAGGTTCAACTATATATATTTTCCACACTCGACCTTCAAAGTGGCTAGCTACCAGTGAATAAGTCTGACCGAGAAAAAACAGCATTTTGCCCAGGCCCAGGAATGGGCCTATATCAGTTCTGCAGAATGCCATTTGGGCTCACTGGGGCGCCAAGTTCCTATCAGTGTCTAATGGATACAGTGCTCAGAGGATTACCATCTAGCAGTTGTTTATGCACTCAAACAATTTCACCAATACTTGCTGGGACGTCAAGATGGAAGGCCTTTTATGCCATTGTGCCCTGGCCGTTCAAGAGTATGATTTTGCTATCTGTTACAAGAAAGGGAATGACAACAGCAACACAGATGCTCTTTGCCCATGTGCAACTACCATCATCTCGCATCAGAAAACTGTTGCAAACATTGGGCCTGCACAACGAGCAGACAAAACCATTTCTACCCTAGTGGCCTTACAAAGACAAGTAAACACCCAAGCGGCAGGTTGTGGAACAAGTATCCCTTGAAGCATTACAAACAGCTATGGAACCAGCTCAGAGTTCAAAATGGCGTTCTGTGCCGAAAGTATGCACCTGGGCCCTTGCAAGTTACAGTCCCAATCTTACCACCATGCTTACGCCAGGAAGCCAGCAGGAATTGAAAAAACCCTGGAACAACTCCAAAGAGAAGCGTACTGGGTTGGTATCGCAACGGATGTACGCAAATGTTGTCGAAACTGTCAGACATGCCAAGCCTCAAACTTGCATCTCCCGCTAACTAACAAACACCCCAATCGGAAGACCCTGGCAGATGATGGTAGCGGCAGACATTCTGAAGGTACCTGTCTCCAGCAACAATAATCATTACCTCCTAGTTGTGCAAGACTACTTCACAAAGTGGGTCGAAGCCATACCACTACCAGACCAGACAGCAGCCCGCATCACAGGGGAGTTGTTAAACTTTTTACTACATATGGATGCCCAGATATCCTTCATTCTGATCAAGGACGAAACTTTGAGAGTACAATTCTACGGAGCACACTGAAAGAGCTGGGCATCCTGAAATCTCGAACAACTGCGTACCACCCCCAAAGAGATGAACACCAAAGCGATTGGGAACGATTTCTACCGCTAGTCTTGTTCGCATACTGAACGGCAACTCACAGTTCAACTGGCTGTTCCCAATTCACGTTCATGTTTGGATGCTCTCTATCTGCACCGATCTTTCCTCCCTCCACTGCGTGGACACAGTAACCTACACAGATAGCTTGCAGTGCAAACTTTCAGAGTTACGAGATCTTGTTGAGTGCCACCTAACAATTGCGGCAGAACACCAAAAATCTAACTATGATGAAAACACCATTACCCGGATTTTTCATGAGGGAAACACTGTGTGGTTGTCTCAACCAACAGCCGGGAAGCTAGATCCACACTGGGAAGGAGTATGGAAGGTCAAACAGTGAGTCCACTGACAGCGGAAATCACAAATGGTCAGAAAAATGAATGTGTTCACATAAATTGGCTCCATCACTGCCTACAGCTACAGCCAGACCTGGAATCTCCAGTACCCGAACAGACCCCATCTCGAACCTGGCAGACCCCTACAGTAGATCACCTGGTTCTACCACCTGCACCTCGATGGTACCCCTTACACCCGCCAGATCGCTATGCATACCAAGACTTCTAAAAGGAGGGGCGAGTGTAGCAGAGCAAACATTCACACCCATTGTTATCAAAATCCATGTCAGTTGGTCATACATACTGAGTGAGAGTGTACTGTGCCATAGCACAGTGGTTTGAGGTGTGCCTTTGTGTTGTGTTGTGTTGTGTTGTAGATTCGAACCCCTCCAGCTGAGTTGCCCTGGTAGCTCAGTTGGTAGAGCGCTCGCCTAGACTGCAGAGTGTCGTGGATTCGAATCCAACCTAGGGGAACTCTTCTTCTTTTCTTTGAAAAGAAAGAGCTGTCCTGGGTGTAGTTGACTTGTTTGCCTTGCCTACCTCACTACCAAGTTGTTGAGACATGTCATGGTTCTGTTGTATAACCACTAGCTCTCACCCATCATCCTATTTAAGCTTAGTGATAACAGAAACCTGGCTCTTTGATTCATTTCTAATGGGCAAATTCTTCCATCTGGTTATGTTATAATGAAAGGCACTGAAGTGCTAAACCATCGGCGCATAGTCTCACAGTGGGGCTATGACGCTAATACGCAGACGTGTACATGTCAACGTATCTGCGGTAGCCATGGGGACATTACCCACATTTGCACACATCGTATGAACGCTGCATAATATACCTTAAAAGAAACTAGTGTCAACACCACAACCATAGGCACTGCACAAACATCCTTGTCAAGTGCAACGATTTTCGTAAGAACGAACCTGGCACCACGGACAAACCTTGCCAAAATAAGTTAACCAGAACATCAACCACACACACGTTTTCCTGTTTGCACTTCTCTCAACTCTATAAAAACCCGACTGAAAATCAGTTTAATAATAATAATGAAAAGCACTTGAAAGTGCATAACCCTCGCCACTGTTAATTATGGCACTGTCCACAGCATTAAACGTGAAAAAGTCACTCCATTCAAAAAATTAGCTCACTATACTGAACTCTACTTCAGCCATTTATCTACAAAGAAACATTTATATAGCCATAGCTAACATCCTATCTCTCATTTTGTGAACATTATCCTGTATTGAACTTTATTCCAATCATCCAGGTTGGAGATTATTCTGGACATGTGTTTTCAATACTAGTTAGTACTACAGAAAAGTGAAAAGCACTTGACAGTATAATTATACATAACCCTCAATCACCACTTTATTCTTCATTTCAGCAGCCAATGGCTACTAGCTACCTGGCTACACTATCTCAGTGACTCCTTCACTGAACAGATTCGCTTCCTGGCTCTCACTTCACTGGCAATTTCGCTCCTACTCAACTGTCTTTATCTCTATTTGACTCACACTCACCTCGACAGCCCTCCGTTTCGCCCGCTTCCCCGGCCTTCTCCGCTCCAGAATCTTATTTTACCATGCATGCCTCCTACTTGATAATATGTCCACGTTTCACGCTCAGAGTTGCCGCAGTTACCGAGAAAAACGGTGGAGAGACGGACGGACGGACGGACGGACACACGGAGACACACACAGACCGACTGCAATAACCCTCCGCTGCTCATGCGCGCAGCGAGGGTTAATAATACTCAGGTGGCTGCCATAGCACTAGGGCACGCACCCAAAGCAATGGGCGGAACCGTTAACAAACGAACATACACCATATGAACATGAGGTGTCTGTCTCACCTCCCAGACACCTCAACTCACCCCTTCACCATGGACACCCTGCAGCTCCCCAGACGCAATCTGAGACTGGGTCTGTTGTACGCGGGGATTATCGCCGTATAACCTAACCTTCCTTAGCTCCCAAACATCCAAAATAAAACCTTTAACAAGCCAAGCAAAGAACCAAATTTATCCTCCCACAGCTCACTACCCAATATAAAGGATGCTTTCCTGAAACTATTAAGCGACTGGAAATGCTCAAACCCATCATCCCCTGCAGGGCAACTAAGAAATTGCTCCCTAAGACTACTATATGCTGGACACTCCCACAACACATGACTCACACTTTCACACTCATCATCACACAACAGGCACTCCTTCATACCCTCCCTCCCCCTATGCCTACCCAGTTCCTCATTTAGCCCATGCTTGCCTGACCTGAACTTAAACATTAATCTAGACCCAGCATCACTTTTCCCATGCAAGTACTTTTTGAACTCTACCACCTTGTTAAATGTCTTATACATTTACTTCGGTATTTAGCCCCTCTTCAAACTTTCTAATCTCCCTCTCATTAATACTGTCCCCCCACTATAGACAGAAAGCCCTTCAAGGAGCAATCCCCATTTTGAATATCATGCAACCACTCTGCCTTGTCAAGACCTAATGACGAAAAGAGATCATCAATGACCTTACTCCAACACTTCCTCCACCTGCCTCTCCGTGGCTTAAAATTCTATTCCTGGTTAAAAAGCTTCTTCGGATACCTATTGCCTGGAAATGCCGCTAACTTATACCACCAGTTCAACCTATTCTTATCCCTACGCCCTTGTAACGTATCAAGCCCCATATCCCCCCTAACGGCTTCATTACATGTCTTAGACGAACACCCAAGGATATGCTTAGCTCCTCTCAGCATCACGGACTCTAACGCAGCTGCCTGGCTTCCCACACCTCACCCCCATACTCTAAAGTTGGCCTAACCACCGCCAGCAATAACAACCTGCGAGCACTCAAATTAATATCCCTATTACTAATTACACTATGCAACTGATTAACCTTCCTTCTACCATTGAGTAACACATTCTTGATATGCACATCCCATGCACCAGTATTAGTAAAATCAACACCCAAGTATGTGTATTTAGATACTTTAGGCAAAACATACTCCCCCAATTTCCAAGCACCATCCACTGACTCCCTAGCGAATACCATCACTACACTCTTACTCACATTAGCCTTTAGCCTCCATTTCCGACAGTAAGCATGCACCACATCTATAAGCGTCTGTAACTGATCCTTAGACTCACTAACACCAATGAAGTCATCTGCAAACAAAAGGCCTCCAAGTCTCCCACCACTACTTAAATCAATCCCAATCTCAGCTTCCTCCACCTCCCTCAACAACCCATTGATAAATACGGAAAACAAAATTGGAGATAAGCTACATCCCTGAGCTACCCCCTGCTCCACATCAAATGCCTCTGACCATTCCCCATCCAACAATACAGCACTCTTTGAATACTCGTACATCTTCTTTATGACCCTCCACATCTTCCCTCTTACCCCAAATTCCCACAACTTAAACCACAGGCCATTACGCCACATACTATGGTATGCCTTCTGCACATCTAGAAAGAATGCATATGTCTCCTTCCCCTCCTTTAGTCTACCCTGCATGAGTTCATTCAGCGTATAAATATTATCAACATAACCCCTTCCAACCCTAAAACCAGCCTGGCCCTCATGCAATGCCTTGCCCTTGTCCAGATGCTTCACCAACCTATTGTTCACAAAAGACCTTCCCAAACACACTCAGCAGAGTGATGCCCCTATAATTCACAGGATCCTCCTTATCTCCCTTCTTAAACAGGTTAAATATGAGGCCCTCCCTCCACTGTGGTGGCACAAACTCCTCACGCCAAATTACTGCAAACAAACTGTTTAAGTAACTCTACCATCCCTGACCCACCATACTTTAGAAGCTCCCCCACAAGCCCATCACTACCACCAGACTTGTTATTCTTCAACTTTCTAACACACAGTGCAATTTCCTCCAAATCTATTTCCTTATCCAACACATTTTCCACACAATCTGTTGGAAACTCACACACTTTATTATCCACTTCCTCTTTCCGACTATCATCAAAGGCTGTATCAGCGCTACAAGTGCCCAACTGCTGATAATGCCTCTTTAACACCTCTAGCTTGCCCTTTGTACTAGTCACTGACACCCCAGCACTATTCCTCAAAGCTGTAATCCCCCTCCTCTTACCCTTTGTCCTTCTACAAACAAATGCCCAAAATTCTTTCCTATTACCTTCAAAATCTGAATTTGCTCTTTCCACTACCTCATTCTAAACCTCAAGCTTCTTCTGAACAACTAAATTCTTCACCTCCCTACGCAGTTTACTATATTCCTCCCATAGATAATCCTGTAAGCCTCCCTTCTCTGCTCTACCCTCTGCTTAATCTCGTCATCCCACCACCTGACTGCCCTGCCACACACTACTACCTTCTCTCCTACCTCAGCCCTTGCCACCTTTTTTACAACCTGCTCCCACTCCTCTACAACTGCATTGACTAACCCACTTCTGCTAATACCCTCACTCACTTTCTCCCGGACTTTGGAAGAGGTGAAGAAATTTGATGAAGTCAAGAGAGGAATCGCCAGCGCTAAAGTTTATGTCGTTTTACTATCATTGTCTCCCGTGAAGAAAGGAAGAAAACAAAACCATTTCGAGGGAACAGTTACTGATAGAAGCAGCAAACTAAGGCTTGTCGGATTCGATTCAGGGCAGCAAAAGCTAATGTCTGACATGCTGCTGAAGAAACGAACCATTGAAATGAGAAATTGTGAAATTAAGCCATCGAGAAGAGGTGACCAGATGGAAATATTGTTCAAAGGTGACAGCAAGATAAATGAATCAACAAAGAAGATAGATGTTTCAGATGTGGATTTCAAAGACGATAATCCAGATGAGATAATGCTGGATGCATTGCAATCGAAGTATGTGTTTGCCAAAGTTACTGTATAAGTGTCAAAGTGCAGAAGCTAGCAGATCCTGAAATCGTACCAACAGTAAAGCAAAAGCAAGAGGCTGACGTGGCTGACCATAGTTCAACCACAAAAGTTATTCTTTGGGAGGAAGATATTGGAAAACTTCATGGGCAATCTTCATATCGACTGGAGAATTTCGTAGTAAAGGAGTGGGGAGGGAAAAGAAATAAAAATTGTGGCCGTTTCTCATCTTGATAATTACAAGTCCTGTTTGCATTGCAGGGCAAGAGTTGAACCGGCCGATGAATCTAGTGGGAGATGCTCAAAGGCAGATTGTCGTATGTTGCAAAATATGGAATTTTGCACTAGCCATGTTTGTGCAAAATTGATGGTAATGGTAGATGCAACATTTATATCTCTCTCTGTGTATGGCAAACTCCTTTACAACCTGGCTAATGTGGAAGAAGAATGTGAAATCTGCTAGGAAGATTTACTTTGTATAACGACACTGAAGGAAGTAACATACAATGGAACGAACAGTGTTATCACGAGCTTTATAACTTTCTAGCTGTATCTAACTTTATATATAGCTATATACTTACTACTTCATATCTAACTCTAACAGCATTTGCTACTTGTTGTAAAGTATGTTTCTATTATAAAATACTCAGAGGATGGAAGCGCGTTTAATGGAGGCCGTAACTAGCTATGTGTGCAAAGCTGATTATAATGGAAAACAGCAAGTATAGAACTCTCTCTATCTTTTGGAAAACTGCTGCATTGAAGTGGAAAATAAGAGTTTGTTGCAAGGAGTACATATTCGAGGAACAGCAATCATGATGATATGTAACTGTTGGTTGCAGTAACCATATGCTTTGCACATATGGCTTGTTCCACTATAGGAATGAGAAAGTATACACATGAATAGCTGTTAGGGTTCAATTGTCGGTATTTGAGAAGAATAGGACTCAATCCAATCAAATGATGTCACTGGAGGAGGAGAGACTCAACTAAATCAGATATCACTGGGGGACCGTGTGGGAGGATGTCACTGGAGGAGGAGGGACTCAACCCAATCAGATGATATCACTGAAGGACCGTGTGGGGGGAGACTCAATCGATGTCGCTGGAGGAGGAGGGGAAGGTGTCACTGGTGGACAAATGACGAGAGAGGAAGAGTATATAGGATGAAGTCACTGGAGGCTCAATCGGATTTATGTGGCAGAAAAATGAAGGGACTCAATTGCATGCAGAGGAGGGCCCTCAATCAGAGGACATCTAGAGGAGAGAGTCAACTGTATGATGGGTTTGAGCATTTCCAGTCGCTTGATATAGTTTCAGGAAAGCATCCTTTATTTTGGGTAGTGAGCTGTGGGAGGATAAATTTGGTTCTTTGCTTGGCCTTGTTAAAGTTTTTTGGGGATGTTTAGGAGCTAAGGAAGGTTAGGTTATACGGCGATAATCCCAGCGTACAACAGACCCAGTCTCAGATTGCATCTTGGGAGCTACAGGGTGTCGCTGGTGGAAGGGGTGAGTTGAGGTGTCTGGGAGGTGAGACAGACACCTCATGTTCATATGGTGTATGTTTGTTTGTAAACTGGTTCCGCACATTGCTCTGGGTGCGTGGTCTATGGCCCTAGTGCTATGGCAGCCGCCTGAGTACTATTATTACTTGTACATAAACTCTCTAATTTCTGTGTCTAGGACTGCAGATGCTATTCAGCTTTGAAAAAGCAGGGTTTAAATTAACAGCTTTGGGAATCCTATGATTGGTCTTGATACGCCACAGTCTGAAACAGTGGCAATTTGATAGACCATGCTCCTCGGTATCAAATCACGAATTGGTGTGGTGCAATTGGCAATGTTCTGAAGGTCTGCATTTTTGTATTTGTAGGGCTACATTCTGGCTAAGAGTCAACTGTTGTCTAGTAAACCACCCCAGCTACCCGATAAACCCGATAAACCAGGTAATGTTACGTCATGTAAACTTTTTTTGTGTAAAGAAACACATCATATACAGTGCAGTGATAGAATTTTTTTAAATATGTCAGAAAAAGAACTATTGTAGGTGTTCCCATTTGTTAGCAACAGGTGGCAAAGGGCTTGTAGTATAGTCCAGCAAAACTATGTTTTCACTTGGATCAACATGTTTTAACAAAGGTTTGAAAAAACCTTCAGCCATGTCGCGATAAATACTTCGGCACATCTTATTTGACCAGGTGTATACACTTTCTCTTACAACCTAAAACAAAAAAATAAAAGAAAGTTTCAAATATTATGATGATGTAAAACTTTGCTTTAACAGAGACAGATAGGGTGAAATATTGGTTGGACAGTATCGTCCAGGGAAGTGCTAGTTTACATACCACTGAATGCCTTTTTCTCACCAAAACAAAACGTGGAAGTGCGTGCTCTCCAGCAATGTTGATTATGGAACTTTTTACAGACTCAAGAATGTCACGGTAGAATTTTTTGCATTTCTGCTGTGATTCTGGTACTGATTTCCTCACCTCAACAACAACACATGCATCTGTGCAAATTGTACAAGCCTTAAAATATTTGTTTTATTGTAGTCTTATTACCAGTAGTTGCAGAGGGTTCAGAAGACAGACCAATGTATGACGCATTTTCAATATTATTGCTTTTTCCCTGAGAATTATGATAATGATAAACTTGAGAATGGTAGAGTAGATTAACATACTACTATAGAACTCTCAATCTCGGGAATTTGGATCCAGACACCCTTTATTCTGACAATGTCGTCTTTTCTTCCTACAATCTGATAGTCTCCATCCATATCGCGGTAAGCCCAGTCTCCAGTGAAGTATTTTCCTGTATGAAAGTGACAATAATAATTATGATGCTATTATAATAAAACCTTACCAGGAAAAGAACTAAAATATTTGTTTTTAAAACTTCCACCAATAATTTCTCTCCCCATTGCTGGAAAGGGATGTCTGAAGCACAGTAAACCTTGAACTCCACTTTCTTGCAGAATTTCACCCTAAAAACATCTATAGTACAATTGGGCAACCTAAAAGCTACTAATATACCTTCTCATTAACAATGATTGGTTCTACCCCCAAAAATGGTTTTGCACAGACACCTGGCTTTAGTTTACTTCCCGGCCAAGGACTCAGTGCAAATCCACCAAGCTCTGCAGTAAGGGAAAAGAACATAAAATGATTTTGGCAATAAAGCAATAATAAACCTGTTTGCCCATAAGTGTCATTAACAAGCAGTTTCTTCTTCCAACAGCTGTGTAGTACCACATCCATGTGGCTGTCGATATTGGTTCACCACCTAGAAAATAGATAATAGCTAGGAACTGCCATTTACTGTGATGTATGGCACAACCTAAAGCAATAGTCTTGAGCGATGAAACGTTATAGTCATTTACACAATTCAGATTATCCTTCATCAACTTCTTTATTGCAGCCGGAGAAGTGTAGAAGTGGTTTACCTTCAATCTCTCCACCATTTCCCAGTAACGACCTACATAATATAATTATTATTATACCAGCACAGAGAAGCACATCCTTCAAATTTTATAAGCATTACTGACCTGAATCTGGGTAGGTTGCAGTTCCCTGAAACAACACGGTGGTTCCTCCATTGCAGAGTGGACCATATACTACGGACGTATGGGCAGCAATCCACCCTAAGTCAGCTACGCAGGCAAACACCTCTCCAATCTTGTAGTCAAACACATACTGAAACATGTTCAATATACATTATCAGTATATATAATTTTAACACCATAGAAAAGAAAACCTTATGTGTCATTGCAGCACAAAGGAGATATCCGGCTTGGGTATGCAAAATCCCTGTAGGCTCATCGGTAGTTCCAGATGTGTACATAATAAAGAGTGGGTCTTCACTCTCCATTGCTACTGGTTCACAGTAAGTAGGTGCAGCTTTCATTGCCTTTTTTAAGGAAAACAATTTTACTCTGCATCCAAAGTGTGTGAAATTAGTTTTATCAGGCATAAGATAGCACAATGCTCTGCCAGTTGCCTTCAATGGGTGATAGCTAATCTAGTAAAACCATACAAGTACTTAGCTCAAAACAGGCTCAAAAACCTAATCTTACCGTTTCGAGATCAGTGTCTCTTAGTGTATCTCCAATATCACAATCATTCATTTTCCAAACTAAAACATGATTTACTGAATTTTCATTTGTCTTCTCAAGAAGCTTGAGAGTCTTATCAATATTGCTTCTCAAGTGCAAACATTTGTCTCCAACAAAAGCCTTTTGTGCAGTGACAACAACCTTGGCTTCAGCTGGATTTGAAAGCACACAAAAATAAGTCATTTAAAGTGCAGTCACTGGGAATAGTAAAAAGCACAGTATAGTGCAATCCTTGGCATGTGTGAGTAGTCATAAGGCCCTAAACATCAAAAAGGATGTAAGAATGACTCATTATGAGAAACAATGTTTAGCTACCCTGCAAGATTGTAATTCTCTCTGAATCCTTTTACTAACACCTTTTGTTGCTCACGAATGCATTAGGCAAATGAAGCATGAAATATGTAACTATATAGCAACATAAACACATAAGGGCTGGCATGGATAGCTTTTTTCACAGGTTACCATCCATTTGAAGGTTACGAATTACTTTAAAATTCAGCGTCAGCATTTAAAAATAGAACAATCTAAAAATTCTATGTAACACTACGAATGCAAATCGTGTTTGCATGGGAAGAATGATTGCTCTGTCAGTAATGCTCGTACTGACTGAATGAAAAGCACTAAAGTGCAAAACCTCGGCGAACTGCGCATGCACGATACTGCTAAATTGATGGGCTATTTTTACTCCTGGTCTCCCGCTAGTAGCTCGCGGAGAGTATGACACGGGCTAGCTACAGTAGTAGATAGCATGCGGGAGTCGATACCCGCCATTCGTTGTGACTTTTTGCGCCCCCAAGGTACACAGGGCGAGCAGATCAGGTCGCGGTAAGCCCAGTGTGATTATGCATATTGGCTTTTTCGCTTGTTTTCAAGGCATATCTCTCGAACACAGTCGTTTCAGGAAAATCGCCCGATTATGTTTTCATGGCTAAGAGTAGTTCTGAAGCCACTGGTATCGCTAATGGGCCGCCTCGTAGCCTGAAGAGCTAGAATAAGCGTCGACACACACACACAGACAGACAGACAAACCAACTACAGTAACCCTCGCTGCGCATGCGCACCGAGGGTTAATAAGAAGGAAAGTTTACAGTTTACAGTTTATCTTAATCACTGGTAAGGATGCTAGATTACTATATGTGACTTAAACTACCGATATCTCTGCAGGTTGAAGCTATAATGATTAAAGATAGTTATTAGGCTTTTGTTTGCCGATCACGTGCGATTTTACTTCTGCCATTCTTATATAGAGCATCTGCTGTGTCATTTGTCATGATGTACATTATACCATACCTACATAATACCTTTAACAGTATAACAGTATCTAGTCAATGAATAACTGGGCACAGGTCATGTAATAAGAATAGTTATGTGTAAATCTCTCCTTACATGATTTGATTCTTTTCATTATGTCTCTTACACCCAGTACCGAATACAGAACACTATGGACACAACAAAGCAAACAGTAATTGAAAGGCTTACATTTTTAAACTATCTAGGCCAGAGGCCACCAAAGTCAGTCATGAATACCCCACATTTTGGTGAAAATTCGCTTGTTTGCTTAGCTACCAACACTATTCCACATAAATAATAATAATTATGTTAACATTACAACAACTTGAACCACACTAAATCAGTCATATATATTTTCTCCAATCCCACTCTCCCTCATCAAATGGATATATTATAGTGTCGGACTCACTTGCACCTGACAATTGTTTGAGATGATATCATGTAGCAGATTTACAATAATACACTTCAAAATGAAGCACCAAAAAGGAAAGAACAAGGGGGCATTTCACAGCTAAGACACACAAATCAACATGACACTATCCCTATATCTTTGTCTGATCGTACTTCCCTATTAGTGAATAGAACAAAGCTTTTGTGTAGAGCAAAATGAAGTTGGGTAAACAGGGACACTAGAAACAGTAACAAGGACTACGGAGTCAACCGCCGTGCCGCCCATCACGAACATCCGGACAATGCCCCTGGCTCATGCTGCTGAGTTAGCAGGAAACAGCATAGTTCAGTGTCTACCACGGTGGAGCTACCGTATAGGGACTTGCGACAAGTCAATGAAGAAACGATCGCTTGATGGCCGGGTACCCTTGAGAATGCGTTCTTGCACAGTATTGACTGTGCACATTCCACGATAACATGACGTCATGTAAGGTAGGAATGTGATAATGACTGTCCAGAATCTTGACAGTGGATACAACTCGCTGAGACAGACCCAGAGGAGGTCGGACATGCGTAGGGATTGCGTCATTGTAAATGCAATTTATGCTGCCCTCGGCAAGATATAGTGAAGAACTCCGTCACAGCCACAGCGTGAACCCCAGAGCCAAGCTAAATGCACAGTACCTTACTTTGATCCTTTTTACAACTCTGGTGGTTTGAAGCGAATTCTCAGTCTGTGTTGTCAAAAAAACTAAGCATAGGTTGGGCAAGTCGTCAAAGGTCGTGCATTCCTCAACGCACTATTATTCTTGTACGATTCACGTGACCGTGTCCGAACTTCTCTGAGACAGACCCCTCTCCGTTTACGTGAGGGGTGTGGCTACGCGAGACTAATGTATAGCTAGATATTGGCCTGTATACCATTGCTAGTGGTTTTTGAAGCCTAGCAAGTAATTCTCGCCGAGTTTTGAGCAGTTTTGTACACGGATCACGTGAGATTTGACCCGTGCCATCCCTATATTATTATAGAGTGACTACCGACACTCTTTCTCTCATCTAGACCCAACTATTATAATAGCTACATATGTGGTCTGAGAACAAGACTAATGACTGCGTGTGCATTACCAGTGAACAGCTCCAATTCTGGCACATGCTAGCATGGCTGCAACAGCCAATGGGCAGGTTGGCATGTAGATGACTATTCTGTCACCCTTTTTTATGCCACAATTTGTTCTCAACACATTGGCAATTTGGCAAGTCATCTCCAATAGTTTCCTAATTAAAAACAAATTACATGCTAATAACTACACATAGTTCATCAGATTGGTATGCTACACTTCCAAACCTGTAGCTGATGCACTCATGAATACCATTTATCTGCTCCTTGGTCCGATTATTTTCCCAGATCAACGCTGTCCTCTCTCCATTTTTCACAGCATGGCGATCAAGGCAATTATCTGATATAAAATAAAGTCAATTCCACTTGGCGTAGTTTTTATTCAACTAATGGCTTACAAGACACATTCAATTGACCACCAGTAAACCAGCTGATGACTCCTTCCTCCAGTCTACATCCATCTACTTCATCAAATATTTTTATCCATTTAAGAAATTTTTTGGCCTGACGACTCCAAAACTCAGTAGGATTTTTGATGCTTTCATCATACATAGCTTCATAATCTATATATGACGAAAAAGTTAAAACAGGAAAAGGTAACCAACCCTGTTTCACTAACCAACTGTGTCCGATTTAGAATCCATATGTAAGGGCGGGCTGTTTATCACCAGGTTTGGAATCTGAATCGAAGAAGGTAGTAACTGTGCATCCTTTGCTTATTATAGTCATGTTTTAGGCCCCTATATAATTATCTGTGGCTTATTTACTTTACTAGAAGGTAACCTATGTAACATAGAAGAAATGGCAACTTTAAACATCGTAACATTAATGTTATATACCTAAAATATTGTACAGCATCACACATAGAACCTCAAAATAGTACTTGTACTATGTACATGGGACAAAACTTGTAAAACTTGGGATCAAAATACAATCATGAGATGCATGGTTGTTAGGCTGGTAGCAACACGTACACGCACTAATCCAAAATAGATGTAATTAAAATGGTTTTAACACACCTAGTGAAAGAAAGTCTAATTAAAACATGCAGACGTACATAAATTTAACATAAACATACACTAATTACTCCCTTGCCTACTATTTTAAACATGATATGTTAAGAGAAGATCAGTAAACACTTGTTTCACTTATGTCCATGTTTTTTATTAAGCAAGATTCACAATGGAATTCTAAATCATACTTTCGTATTCTTGGTTATGATAAAACCGAATTGGATTTAGTGTTAAGTGTTTCAAACTTACCCTATATATAAAATTTATATCAACCATTATCTCTATGACTCTCTTTCTCTCAGCTCTTTTCGTTTTTCATTGATTATGTGTGGTGATAGCAATGGAAGTGAACTTTTCGGGATGAACCACGTAATACTGACACAACCGCTATGTGCCTCTTTGAAACGAAAAATAAATTCTTCAAGAAGAATGCCCAGCCAGAACTTTGATCGTGAGCAAAGCTGGCCATTGTGTATCCTTGTATTTTCTCTCAAATTTAACAGTGAGTGTTGTGCACCCATGAGGAGAAGATAATATATTAGATCCAACAATTGCCGTATCATCTCGAAGTAGTGTTGTTCGCTGAAAACTTCAACCTTACGTGCATGTCGTTCAATATCGTCATGAATCTCATTTCAAATGGAAACACACAGGTCTAAAAGCTCTTAAGAATCCGATAATTATGGATCCCAAACACCTGGTGGCTTGGTCAACAGATAATAATTTCTGGAACTTTCATATTGGTGAATAATTTGCACATCATTTCATCGAAAAAAGACGAATATTGCTCTGACATCAACACATAATGTCAGCTAGACGTACACGCCAAAATCATCAATAATCTGGGCTGAGATGCAGATTTTATAGCCTTAGCGAGGAGATTGTTAAAATCCATCTCCAATTTTTCAAGATTATCCCTCACTAGTAAATGCGGCCTGTTAGAATCTGGTCAGTAAAAAGGCAATTATAATAAAACACAAAGCAGAGACTTGGCATTATTTAACGCATGGCCCTTGTAAAGCGTGGCCTACAAGAATGATGAGCACTAAAGTGCAAATCCTCAGCGCAATGACTCTGGCTACTAATCAAAGTTATTGCACTAGTGCAAGTGGCCATAGCTAACATTCCTAATTTAAGCTCATTTGACAAATACTACTGACTTCAGCCGGCAATTCGCAATAGTATGCACTGTAACTTAGATCAGCCAGCAGGTGACTAATAAAGCAAGCAGGTGACACATTGATTCTTCTGTTGGATATAAGTTTTGCTGTAACTGCATTACATTTCAGTCATTAACCCTCGGCGCACATGCGAAGCGAGGGTTACTGTACTTGGTTTGTAAGTGTGTCTGTCTGTCTGTCTGTTACCACGTTTTCTGTGACTACACGCAACGAGATAACAAAATAGCGATACCAACGGGTTCGTCGCTACACTGGCTTCAAAAGGCGATTTTCGTATAACTGACAAGTTCAAAAGTTATGGTATGAAAAGCAAGTGAACAAGCCAATATGCAAATTAGCACAGGCTTACCTCGACTGCGTCCGCTCGCTCTGTGTATTTTGCAGGCACAAGAAGTCACAACAAAGGGCATATATCGACTCCCGCATGCTATCTACTACTGTAGCTAGCCCGTGCCAGACTCTGCGCGAGCTACTAGCTGGATATCACGAGTAAAGCCCAGCCCATCAATTAGTGCTACCGCGCATGCGCAGTTCGCCGAGGGTTTGCACTTTAGTGCTTTTTTTAATTTTTTTATTATGCTATCAATAGTTTGCAGAGCTAACATCTCAACAAAGGTATGTAATACTTACTGTAATATTTTGTTGCCTGCCTTATGCTGATAGAAGCATTCTGACAGCTACGTTTATAAGTGCATGATGTTATCCAGCATTATGTTAGTGCACTCCAGGACTAAAACGAATGCAACACATTTTTTGGCGAGCGAGCGTGAGCAGGTCAATACATTGTGTACGTTTTGCGCGTATTTAGAATATGGTATGTGTAGTGCCCGCAGTGCCCGTCACATAGAGAAATGAAAAGCACTGAAGTGCAAACCCTCGGCGCACTGTGACGCGCACACGTAAGTAAACGCATGCGCCGTACCACTAATTGATGGGCTGGGTTTAGTTTTAGCTGTTACTCGTGGTCTCTTGCCAGCTCGCGCAGAGCCGACGCGGGCTAACTACACTACTAGATAGCATGCGAGAGGCGATACACGCCCTGCGTTGCATCTTCTGGTGCCTCGGAGGTACGCAGAGCACGCGGATCGATCAGACCGTGGTAAGCCATCCCGTCTGTTGTGTATTTGCATATTGCCTTTTTCGCGCTGTAGCTCTGCAACGGAGCATTTTCAGAGAAAACCCCACATATTTTCTGACCTTCGTCGCCCGTTCAATAGGTGGTATCCTTTGTGAGACGAACGAACACTCCAGAAGTGAGATGACGAGTAACAGACAGACAGACCCAACTACCGTAACCCTCGCTGCGCATGCGCACCGAGGGTTAATGAAAAGCACTGAAGTGCTAACCCTCTGCGCATGACACATGCACGGTACCGCTAATTGATGGGCTGGGCTATGAGCATGCGTTTACTCGTGGTCTCCACGCTAGTTGGCCGCGGAGAGTCTGACACCAGCTAGCTACGCTATAAGATAGCACGCCGATGCGGGAGTCGATACACAGCCTTTGTGGTGACTTCTTGTGCCTCTGCAAGGTACAAAGAGCAAGCGGATCGGTCAAGGTAAGCTGGTGCGATTGTGCATATTGCTTGTTTTCAGAGCATATCTCTCGAATGCAGTCGTTTCAGGAAAATCGCCATTTTAATTTTAAGGTTCGCGTAGTTCTGAAGACGTTGGTATCGCTCGTGGGTCGCCTCGTAGCCCAGTGTGAGAATAGCTGCTGACAGACGGACAGACACACACAGACACAGACCTGTAACCCTCGCTCCGCATGCACGCCGAAGGTTAATAATAGAAAGTTACCGCATTGAAACGACTAGGCCAATTATTTGAATATTGTGGCAATTTTTAACATTCCGACTCCCACCCTGTTCAAGGTGAAAAGCAGACCCTCTCTACTTTTGTCACAGGATATATTATCCTAGTTGTTGCCTAAGTCCAAGTGCCAGATGGCAAAGATGTAACGTAATGCATCATCAGAGCGTCGGTAGATGCTCTATGTACAGCAGGGGTGGCACTAGTGAAATCTGACGTGATCCACGTACAATAACACCTCAAAACTCGGCAAGAACGCCTATGTAGGCCTTCTAAACACACCAGCAACAACTCTCGGTGTAGCTATACACAAGCCCAAAGGGTCATACATGCTTTCAGTTTTGCACGAGAAATCCGCTCATGAATCCGCGCAGACTCTACGCACACGCACACAGACACCTCCCCCAAGCACACCGTGCATGCTGAGTTGGCAGCAATTAGCGTCGTTCAGTGTATTTTGTGAAGAGCCCCACGATGTACGGCGGGAGAAAATGATCGCTTGATGTCCGTGCACACCTCCGTCGACTTTTAGTGCTGCGCTTTAGCTAGTTTCAGTTCTCAGCTAGTTTCAGCGCTTTAGCTAGTTTCAGTAAGGAGATAGCGGGTTTACTGAAGAAGAAGAAGAAGATGATGATGATGATGAATAATAATTATGATGATGCGAACTTGCGTATGAGCGGATGTAGTTGTGGTACAACTGTACACTGTGCTGCGCTTGCACGCGCGGCACAGTGTACAGTTGAACCACAACTACATCTCCTTCGGTTAGCGCTTTGCCTAAAATAAAAAAATTAGTGGAACAAGTGGAAAAATTATTTCTATGAAGTGAAAGGGGATATAGGGATGTCACATTATGAAAAAGAAAGGTAACAAAAAGATGCCTACACTGAGACATCTGTTTCTTTCATGATCCACAATTCATATACACATGCGGGTTTTTATAGTCTTTTCGTTGTCCAACGCATTCATGACTAGCAAAACATTTCTGAACAAAACAAAGATGTAGGGATGGGGTTATGAATGATTCTCTGTCTCGGTGTGCTTTTTCTTGTTACCTTTCTTTTTCAGGATGTGTCATGATAGAAATGATTTTTCCACTTGTACATTACAACTGTGAACGCATGTGGTCATGAAGGAAGTCCAAGCAACAACTCTTTGGAGCCTACAAGTTTGACAAGCACATGCTTTGCAACAGGTAAAAAATACTTTTGCTGGTTTGGAGGAGTAGTCAACCCTCAGCATGCAAGTGGAGCGAGGGTTACGGCAAGAATATATACATAAGAGAGAGAGTATCGAACTGCGTATACCTGAGTACAAACACTGTGTACGTAAGTAAAATGACACACATGATGAAACTCTGTAAAACAGCCCATAACCTACTAGTGAACGTTATCGTTTAAATTAACTAGTAGATTACGGGTTGTTTTACTGAGTTTCATCACACGCATATCACGTTACTTTGTACACAGTGTTTTTTACGCAGGTATACGCAGTTCGATATTCTCTCTCTATGTACGTACTCTTGGTTACAGTACTTCATTTGTGAGTGTGTCCATCATTCTGTCTGTCTCTCTGTCTGTCTGTTACCACGTTTTCTGCCACCACGTGCAATAAATTGGCAAAAGAGCGATAGTAACGGGTTCATTGCTACACTAATGTTATTTTTAAAAATGTGATTTTAATAACAATACTGAAAACCAAGTGACAAGCCAATATGCTAATTACAACTGGCTAATACCTCGCCCGCATTCTGTCTGTTCGTGTACAGTGGAGGCACAGTAAATTTCAAAAGGAGGGCAAGTGCCGAGTCTTGCGATGCCTATATAAAATTTTATCTACAAGTATAGCTAAATGTTAAGACTCTCAGAGAGTGATACCACAAGTAAATCGACAAATGCATATACTTGACCATGTACGTGCGTCAAGTGTGCCAAGCGTTAGCACGTTTGTAAATCGACAGCATAGCAATTGTACTGACCTGAGCATGCATATATGGGTGCAATGCGTATACTTGACCATCCATGCATGTCAAGTGTGCCAAGGGTTAGCACTTTAGTGCTTCCTCATTTTGTAATGGTCAATAATCTTTTTTATTTTGCTCGGCAGAGGTGAACAAAACTTAGACAGCCAGATAGAAACATGAAAATGAACTTACATGGACTGCGTGGATAAGCTTCAACTGATGGTTCAGTAACTCCCATCCCAGTTTCTTCAAATGGACAAGCTACGTAAAATTAATAAAATTATACGTTTTTGACCTCGCATAAGCCTGTGTTAATATATAATGCTAACACGACTGGATTTCTTGCCAATTACGTTTCTGGGTATAGGTAAATAAATTTAATGTCCCACATGAAAAATATGCCATAAGTAAAGTGTGCAGTAACATATGAACGAATAGACTAACAATAGCTCCATGGAACTTACTAAATGGATAAAGTTCTGCTCCACCTACAAGGAAAAGTAATAAATACATATGTCAACAATGAGGTAGCAAGGCATTGACAAGCAAACAATTTAACTGCCATGAACATCTTGATTACAACACAGTATTTTAACCTTCGTGGGGCTGATAGTTGGTTAAATATGTTCTAATTATTTGCTTGAACTCGTCATGATTGCGAAACTGATGAACTAAGTCTCCCCAAGTCCTCTTCTCATGCCGTTCACCCCAATCAACTAGTGCACAGAAAATTTTATGTGATTCATCGCCCTCTTCATTTTCAATTTTTTCAACTGCTTCCTGCTCCAATTCCAGGCTGTTGCAAACCTCTTTGAAACTCTCACTGACTTGATGACTGATATATAGTAGGCCAGTTTCTTCAAATGGATATTTTTCGTACTGCATAATTTCATCCGGATTGGAAGTTGGTTCAACCATCCCCTGAGGTAAAAAAGTAGATCTAGAAATGCTTCAAAAATACATGGCAGGTTGACTGTTTGTTTGTTTGTAGGAAGCTATTGTGGCAGTACAGGCTTTGCGAGCCTACAAACAGCTTCAGAGCTACTAGTGTGTAAAAAAGGTGATTTCCCTGAAACGAATGCATTAAATAGCAAAAATGCCAATACGCATAATTGAATTGGCTTCTTGATCTGATGAAGCACAAGAAGTAACAACGGAGGGTGTGTATCAAGTCCAGCATGCTATCTACCAGTGGAGCTGGCCAGTGTCAGATTCTCTGCACTCTACTAGCACGAGACCACGACACAAGCAAACGCATAATACGTTAGAGATATTAACCACGCATGTGTATGGTTCGACAGTTCTAGTGTGCCGAGGGTTCATACACGTACTTCAGTTCTTTTCATAGTTGTGGTAGCTAGACACTGAAAGGCCTAGGGATGCACAAATTTCTTCATTCTTTAAACTACAGTGGGACCTCCGATAATGAACTCCCCCAACAAAACCTCTCTATAATGAACATATTCCTATGTACCAACTGACTTACCATGCTACAAAATAATATAACCATAGTGCTGTCTCCAAGCACAATTATCACTAAGTATGGTAGTACTTACTATATAGGGATTGACATGGTACCTAGCATCATAGATGTATGGGGCTATGATAGGGAGTTTTGTTCATCATCTTCTTCTTCTTCTTCTTCTTCGACCAGCGTAACTCAAAAACCGAAAGAGATAAAGCCATGAAATTTTGTAGGAATGTGCGTATCGATAACCACATGTGCAACGTCATACTCTTTTTTGTAAGCAATGTTGTTTACTGTAAACAACAACAAAATTGCCCCAGACAATACATTATAATGGGCAATACGTTATAATGGGCATACTACATGTGTCAGTGTAACTCACAATTGGTAAGAGTTATGCGAGCGAAAGTTTGTATACACAATGTATTCAATAGCCAACATCAAAAACACAACAATACATGTTTGTAAACAACAACAAATAGACTCAGGCACTTTTCTTTAAATTTACTTCTTCACGTCTCAAACTCCTTAATGGTAGGACGCATAGAGATGAAACTTGGTACATATGCCTATTATATCATTTCCATGACAACTACATGTTTCCATGACGACCGCATACTGTTTGAAGAAACCTCAGACGATTATCTTTATAATTACTTCTTCACTCCTCAAACTCGCTAACTTTAGCATGTGTGGAGGTGAAACTTGATACACATATGTATTAAACTGTTTCCATGACAACCACAACACAAAGTAGCCTCAGGCACTTTACTTTAAATTTACTTCTTCATTCCTCAAACTCGCTAACTATAGCACACATATCATTTCCGTGACGACAACAGGCATTTTTCTCTATTAAAATTTTTATAGGGGCTTGCCCCCTTCCACAGAGATGATACGTAGTAGTATACAAAAATGAGTGGAGACAAGACATAAAAATCCTGCGAATTTAAAAAAGAGGCATATAGGGATCGTATAAAAAGAAAGGGAGACAAGATAGGGATTGGATACATGAAGCATGGTTAATGAACAGATTTGAGTATGCTGACACCCCCAACCCCATCACACAATCCTTATATTGTTGCCTAGGTGAAGTATTAAACATTCCCCATTACAATACTCAGAACTTACAAGTTACAATACACTACTGAGTAACCAACACCCTTATAGAGTCCAAGTGGAGTTTAAAAGGGAATGTGGCAGTATAAATGTTACTAAAACAACAGGGACAAGGTGAAAGAATGCTTGCTTTTAGTAACCTTTGGCCCCTATAAGAGTAGCACACCAGGCAACAATATAAGGATTGTGTGATGGGGTTGGGGGTGTCAGCATACTCAAATCTGTTCATTAACCATGCTTCATGTATCCAATCCCTATCTTGTCTCCCTTTCTTTTTATACGATCCCTATATGCCTCTTTTTTAAATTCGCAGGATTTTTTAATTTACTTGTTTAATGAAAAGTGGGTATGGCTCTGCGTAAGTAATAATTATCACACACACAATTGCGCATGCATGCTACACTTTTACATCATACTTTTACTACTAGGTCAACCATTAGAGTGTTTGGTAGACGCTATATAGGGATGGCATGCGTCAAATCTCACGTGATCCGCGTATAAAACTGGTGAGAATGACTCACTATGCCTTCAAAATACGCTAGCAAAAGTCTAAGAGCCTGTATCTAGCTATACATGTTCCTCACCTTAATCGACCATGTTGCTTTGTTAAGCACTGTCAACAGAAAGCAGAGTAGTTTAGAGGATTTAGTGTTGAAAACTATAACTTGTGTTTTTTACTTCAATATATTTGTCAATAAAGGAAACATCTGAATATTGAAAAAATGGCTGTCCCAATATTTTCATTACTGGGAGGTCCCACTGTAGCATCCAAACCCAATGTTGTGATATACTCCGGAAAGAGGGCCATTAAGTTTATTAACGAGCAACATGAACACAGTAACCACACCCATAAATTTGTATTCTTGTGGTGTTGAGTAGCTACACAACAATCTTTCCTTACTACCAAGTTTCAGTTTTGTACTTCTCTTGGTTTCAAGGTGGAGAATGGCAGTGGCATATAATTCACATATAATTATGGTCAAGATCTGTGTATGATATTAATTTAAAGCCTTTTCGTTTAAGAGGCTGAAATATGCAATTACGCGTAATTGCTATTGACGTCAACATCCGGAGTACGTTCTTCGCGTTTCACAGGAGCGTATGTATGGCAGTCTACGGGAATAATGCGACATTTTTGCACAGCGCGCAGCGCAATACGCTACCGTATATCCTTTTATAGCGGTATCTGCCGAAAAGTTTAACACTAGGACTTTGTCCTCCAAGTTATTCGATTGTCGTAGCGTCTTCGATATGGTCGTGCAAAGTCTGCTAGCTTTAAGTCATGGTAGAAGAGTAGAGAGGAGGACAGCGACGGTTAAAACCAGGATCCATGAGTGAAAGCAAGTTAGGCAACCCAGGAAAGCCTCTGGTAAATGTATTGAGACGCTTGGCAACAAATGTAAGGAGAAAGGAGGAGAAATAGGCGGTGAAAAATGGTTGTTGTAAGTTTATCTTGGCATAGCGCCTACAAAAGGGCACAAAACGTTCACCAGATATTCTCTGGGATGAACCTACTTACCTTGACACATAGCCCTTGCCTTCAGAAGTTGGCTTTCGCTGTCTCTATCGCTCCACGTTACGTGAAAACTGGTTGACTTTGCGCGTCTGTATATCTGCCCTTTGTGGTGCTACAATCCTGGCTCCACTTGGAGGACGAAGTCCTTGCGTTCAACTTTTCGACAGATACTGCTATAAAAGGATATACGGTAGTGTATTGCGCTGCGCGCTGTGCAAAAATGCGCATTATTCCCGTAGACTGCCATACATACAACGCGAAGAACGTACTCCGGATGTTGACGTCATGGTAAATTTTGACGTCACGCTACATAGCGCGTATACCTCTCGATAAAACGAAAAGGTCTATTATCACCAAAAATATTATTATGACCAATAACCCTTTTTTCTTCAGGAAAAATCAATATGCAACATAACCCTAAAAAGTCATCAGATTTAAAGGCCCTCAGGTGACCTAGGCAGATCTCTTCGTAGAGTATATTATACATGAATATGTAATTGCTTAACCCTTGGGACGGTGTGGGTTGCGGCACTATAATTTTATTTCTGTCTGTGCATCTCCTTGTTATGACTTTGGCATGCATGCACAGCGAAGGTCACAGTACTTGATTGGTGAGTGTATCGTTTATCCGTCCGTCGCCGTTTATATAGTGCAGTCACACGAATCAAGCCAGCAAAAGATAATGCTAAGAGGTTAAACCCACAACTTGTTTGATTTGTTGATTCCAAAAGTTAAGGTGTGATAACCAAGGGAATAAGTGGAAAACGTCAACCTGTTTGCATACCAATGAGGCACCAGAAGTTACAAGTGAGGAAATGTGTCAGTCTTCCAAACTGCATTTTTAAATGGTAATTTCATGTCAAGGGGGTACAAATGACCATTCTGGGTCTCAGCCCTTCAATTATTATGGTCTTTTGTTGGGCTCGTTGATGAATATTTTTTATTGGCGAGTGGCAACCTAGACACTGTTATGGTGATGCCACACACGGTACGATATCCGAGAGCCGCAATGCAAATATTGTGTTACACCAACCATGTAGCTATAGACATTCTTTTTCCAAATACGATACTCAGGAAGATAAAAACTCTATAACTCAGAGCTTTCGACTCAAACTAGAGACATCATCAGTGATAATGTTTTCCTTTGTTCCACTGTTTCTCTCTGTCCAAAACTCTTACTCTTTCCCAGTCAATTTTCATTTTGCCTGCGCGCCTGCCTCTCTCTAGCTCGCCGGCGCCGCAAATCGCGCGCTAGCACTCGCACGCGCGGATTAGCCAAATTGGCGATTTCCAGCCGAGAATTTTCGCCAAACAGGTTTTTGTCACATTTGGCGACTGGTAGCGGAACCCCTGCATTACAGACAGGAGACAAACAGGCCCAGTAGCGGCGTATAAGAAACGAATCGGTTATGGGGGTTTTGTGGCTTGCAAGAGTGTCAAACTGATATCAGAGGTTGCTCCGCTCCTTTGACACCTGTATTTCATTTCCTTGCTGCCATATCGCTAAACGTATGAAACGACTGGCTCAAAAAGTGTCTAATAATTATCAGAATCTGGCTTTCCCATTTTGGCCATTTGCTTGCCTGTAAAACGAAACGTTGCTTCAAAGCCATATCCCCACCTCCCATTAGCTTGCCTGCAGTTTCGGAATTGAGAGACGACTGGGTTATTAATCACACGTATTGGCTAGTGTGCCCTAATCCGGATTTTGGTCAAATGTGTATGTTTCTAACAGATCACTGTTGCGTTCCTACAGAAGCGATTGGCAAAGCAAGGTGTTCGCCGAGACAGCGTCTTGCTTCTGAGATGGCCGGGCAG